GAGCTGAACACATCTAAGGCGTTTTCATCGCGCTAGCATGCCTCTATCAAAAGTTATTTGCGAAAAACTGTTAGATACCATTCGTGACCTAAGATGACCTCAGGGCATAAACAAGGGTCACGGACACCATTTTCATGTTCAGTGTGTCTAAACCACTTGTAATTCGGTGTTTGGGAGTGTTTATAATATCTTTCGTCCAAAAGAGGCACATTTAAATTTTCTCCCATTGACTTATAATGGGGAGGTCGCAAAATTGACCTGACCTTAGGTCATCGATATCAAAATTCTGAGATATACATTTTGTACATGCTATTGCTCTTAGCAATCGCTGAAAGTTTCAAAGCGATCGGTCACTCGGTGTAGCTATGACAGACATTGAAACTTTTTATGAGGTGAGGTCACTTCAAGTGACCTGGTGACCTGACCTTGAATGACCTTGGTCTGAAATTTTCACAACATGTGTAGAATTGATGCATGATAAGGTGTACCAAAAACGGCGGCGCTCCGCGCCGCCGTTTTTGAGATATTTGCGAAAAACCACAAGGGGGGGGGGGGTGTTCAAACACCCCCCCCAGCAGGGCGCGGGTTAATCACCGGTTAAGAAATAAAAAAACAGTAAATGCTAAATTAAATGTAATAATTTTATAGATGGTCTTGGTAATGCTCTCCGGCTGGTCCTCTCTCGGCATACAAATGATAAGGACGTAAAAAGAAAAAAAGAAATAAATGCTACCAGCTACGTGGTTTTGTAACATGTATAACTGCTATTTTAAAGTATTCAAAAAACCAAGACAGAAAAATTGATCCTAAAATTATTATTACGTCATCAATGACAGCTTTCCTTCGCCTCAGAGACCAAAATTGACGCAGTCAAATGTCAATCCTTGTCAGAATGTCGGAAGTGCGCCATTATTGTATTGCGTAATGTTTGGGCCGCATTTCAGTCAATATTTTAATTTTTTGTAAGGATAATTGGTGTGCTATTTTTGTAATATAGGTGGGGCAGAACGTAGAGTAGGATAATCAATGAATTTGCATCAAATTTTGTTTCGCTGATAGCTCTTTTTTTTGCCGACCAGATGCAAATAAAGTAACATGTGGCATTTGCTCTGATTTGGTTCTTCCATAATGTATACCTAGTGCACACTGCACATATACTTCAGTTCAGCTTTCTATAAGTTTGCTTTCAGGTTCTTTTATGTTTTATGGAATGCTTTCATCAGCATTTATTTATGCTTTGTAGTTTGTTGCTTGTACCACTGGTTTGGTCATTGCTAGACTGTGGAGTGTGGATGCTATTGCTGGTTGTTTTCAGTTTTGCATTTGAAATGTGCTTCCTTGATATATTTTTCAATTTGGTTCTGTTTTGAAAGTTGTTTTGATGAATATTGTATTGTTAGCCTGAGGAAATGCACTTGGCATTGTGTTTTGCATCTAAAAAAATATATATTATAGGTTCTAAGATCTGACCGCCAAATACCCGCCACACGACTAAATTTTGCTTCTCGAACCCGCCAAAAACCCTGCGGGTTTTGAAAACCCGCAAAAAGCGGGTTCGCGGGTTCAAAAAAGGCATCTCTATTGGTCACCCACGTCATAGTCTGCTTCGCGGGTGTGCCGAAATGACCTAAAGTCCAAATTTCCGGTGTGCAGGGTCGTTTTCAACGGCACGTGGCACGTGGTTCTGGACTTTTCCGGCCACTTTGCGACATACCCATGGGTAGTGCACCGAATGGTGGCTGATCCGCATGGAAGAAAATGGGGGGTCGTTTGGATCGTTTTCGAGCAATCTGCCGCGGAACGCATTTTTTCATTTTCCCCATTGGCTTAACATGGGAATTTTCAAAGTCACGTGGCACGTGCACCAGATTGTCCGCGGAGGAGAGACCCATACCAGAGCCTAGATCACCTGGCCCACTAGTAATCCTGAAAAATCAGAACATTTGGAACAGCCGTTTTCTCGAGCATCAAGTTGTACTGATCTCAGGCAGCTTTTGCCAAATTGTCAGGGAACTCAGATTTGTTTTTCAATAGAAAAACACAATTCTAAAGAATAGTGTTTAAACTATTGACAACAAACCTTCGGTTATTGTTTATTGTTTATTGAACACTTAAAAACTCATCCACACAACATGGCTATTCTTGAGTTCGAGTCATAAGAGGTGAAAAAGTAAATACGAGGGGATGATGACGCAATCAAGCACACACAAAAAAAAACCTTCACTGCCCACAAGCACGCATAGGTACTTTCTAAAATTGGCCCAGACGCCGTTTCACATTCATTTTAAAAGCGCCCGGTGGCTGCTCCCTGACAGCGAGAGGCAGGGCATTGAAAGCCGATGAAAGGTCTTCAGATGTCGCAAGCTCCTCACTGCCAGAGGAGCTTTCACAGGGAAATGAAACTTGCAGGATCTAATAAACATTACGAGCCTCACAACTGGTATATCTCGGATTTTTCCTCAACGTCATATAAGGTCAGGTCATTTTCGTGACCTCAACATTCTAAGTCAAAGGGGAAAAATGAAAACTGCTCTTCTGGCGCCGGGAACGATCTCCAAGTATCTCAAGCACACATAATTGTTATTTGATGCACTCCTTGCAAGGTAACATGCGTCACTTTTGTAATGTTGACCTTGCGTGACGTCATTTATGACGTCATTAGGGTCATATAAACCCACCAATGGACTCAGCAAGACCTTCGGAATCGAATGATATGCGAAATGACCTACTTCGACCAATTTCGTGACCTGGGGGCGCTGACCTGACCGTGACCTGAGGGCAACACCCTAAGTTGACCTCATCCAAACAAAAAGTATATTAACCCGCGCCCGGCTGGGGGTCCTGGATTTCCACGCCCTGCTGGGGGGGGGGGGGTGTTTGAACATCCCCCCCTTGTAACTCGGCTCCTGGGCCACGTAGCGATACGCGGAAGGCGGCGTTCGAAAGAACGTCAAAAATAATGACGAAATCTTTACGGTCAATTTTTTGGTCAGGTCAAAGGTCAAGTCACCAGAGGTCATTGAAGGCAAAATTTCGCCGATTTCCAGGTCGAATGTCGAAAATTTCCAAGAACGGGAACCAATAGAGCTACAGCGCCGCGGAAAAGCGCATTCGATAGCCCTATTAACGCCCTTTCTGAGTAATTCTCTCAGATTTGACCTAACGTCAACGGTTTTGCCTGCAGGGGGCAAAAACTGCAAAAATAACCGATTTTTTTCAGAAACAGTTTTTCTGCAATAACTTTTGACCCAAGCCTTGTACGAGCTTACTTTTACCAGCATCGTGTTCCTCTCGTCACGACGCATCGAATGAACTATAACTTGACCTTGAAAGGTCAACTTGAAAATTTGACCTCAGGTCAAGGTCATGACCTGACTGGAAAGGGTCATGTTGCATATCAGTCGATCCGTATCGTCGAGCTGAACACATCTAAGGCGTTTTCATCGCTCTAGCATGCCTCTATCAAAAGTTATTTGCGAAAAACTGTTGGATACCATTCGTGAACTAAGATGACCTCAGGGCATAAACAAGGGTCACGGACACCATTTTCATGTTTAGTGTCATGTCTAAACCACTTGTAATTCGGTGTTTGGGAGTGTTTATAATGACCCCGTTTCCATGGGCATCACTGATTCGGATCAGCAACTTTAAATCGTGTATATTTTTTGAATTCTTCTTTACAGGGTATAATTCAAAGTGGATTAGGTTTATACAAACAGTTAATCTCTTATTCTAATTTTCATAAAGTGTCTAACTATACAGGATTAGCTAATCCATTTTTACTGATCCGGATCAGTGATGCCCATGGAAACGTGGTCAATGTCTTTCATCCAAAAGAGGCGCATTTCAATTTTCTCCCATTGACTTATAATGGGGAGGTCGCAAAATTGATCTGACCTTAGGTCATCGATATCAAAATTCTGAGATATACGTTTTGTACATGCTATTGCTCTTAGCAATCGCTGAAATTTTCAAAGCGATCGGTCACTCGGTGTAGCTATGACAGACATTAAAACTTTTTATGAGGTGAGTGACAGTGACCTGGTGACCTGGCCTTGAATGACCTTGGTCTAAAATTTTCACAACATGTGTAGAATTGATGTATGATAAGGTGTACCAAAAACCACAAGGGGGGGGTGTTCAAACACCCCCCCCCCCCAGCAGGGCGCGGGTTAAGGCCGCCCCACACTGGACCTCGCCTGCGGGTTGCGAGTTTGCGGGTTTTGAGTTTGCGGGCATAATACTAACTCATAGTGATTAAAACGTTCCCTTATGGTAACCTTATGAATGCAATGAATCCGGTACACCTTCAGAAAATTACATATAGTCGCAATACCAGTGCAACAAACTAAAATTCGACTCCAACGAAAAACCCGCAAACCTCGCAAAACTCGCAGACCTCGCAGCGAGGAGAATCGAAAGTTGACTCAAAATCAACTTTTGGAATGCGATGCAAAGTAGCTCGCAAGCTAAAAACATGCAGACTCGCTTGTTAGAGGGTAGTGTAGGTCACTCAGCTTAGATTGTACCATTTGATTTAGAAGAAACCCGAAAACCCAAAAACTGGCAACCCGCATGCGAGTTCCAGTGTGGGACGGCCTTTAATCGACGTGCCTGAGCGAGGCGAACACGATGCTGCTAAAATCGATGCTGCGAAGTTATTCACCAAAACGGAACCGTACCTTGCAGCCCTTGACCTGACCTCTGAGGTCACCGGTTGACCTAGAGCCTTAAACTCGGATGTCAATCTCTGCGTCTCGTAACGGCGCACACGCTCGTTTTTTTTCCGCGACGCGCTAGCTCCACCAGGGGCGAGACGGCAAGGGGGCAGTATCAACGGCAGGGGGGGGGCAGTATCAACGGCAAGGGGGGCAGTATCAACGGCAAGGGGGGCAGTATCAACGGCAGGGGGGGGGCATATGCCGCAGCAGTATCAACGCCGGCGCGCTGAGCGTTAGCCGGCAGCGCTGCAGCGCCGCAGAGGGGGTGGGCTGGCTCACCGACTGCTACTCGGCAAGTCGCCGTCCGTGTACGGTCGGTCCATGCTGGCGCGGATGGCCGCCAGCCAGGTGCTCATCTGGTGGGCGCCACTCGTCTCGACCACGTACTCCAGCCCGCTCTCCGCCTGCACACAGCGCACAGTGTCAGTCCAGTCTCTACCTGCACACAGTGCGCAGTGTCAGTCCAGTCTCTACCTGCACACAGCGCACAGTGTCAGTCCAGTCTCTACCTGCACAGTGCACACAGCGCACAGTGTCAGTCCAGTCTCTACCTGCACACAGCGCACAGTGTCAGTCCAGTCTCTACCTGCACACAGCGCACAGTGTCAGTCCAGTCTCTACCTGCACACAGCGCACAGTGTCAGTCCAGTCTCCGCCTGCACACAGCGCACAGTGTCAGTCCAGTCTCTACCTGCACACAGCGCACAGTGTCAGTCCAGTCTCTACCTGCACACAGCGCACAGTGTCAGTCCAGTCTCTACCTGCACACAGCGCACAGTGTCAGTCCAGTCTCTACCTGCACACAGCGCACAGTGTCAGTCCAGTCTCTACCTGCACACAGCGCACAGCGCACAGCGTGCCGCAGTGGTCAGCAGCTCTGTTCAGCCCGATTAATGTGCTCACCCAACGACACCAAGTCACAAAACAGTGAAAGTAAAAGTAAAACAGTAAAAGTATAACACCAACAGAGTATGACTGGGCTGCATTCTATTAAACGAGTGACTGTGAGGGCGGAGACCTCCTCCCATATCTCCCAAACCACTGCACTGGTTCAATTATCAAAATTCATACTGCGCTAAATGGTCCGGAAATAACTGCCCTCGCCGGACCTATTGGTTTTCTACATACGCGCCGGCCGGGGGAGGGGGGGGGGTACGACCTACCCTCGCCGTTTCGCCCCTGGTGGAGCTAGCGCATCGCGGAAGAAACGAGCGTGTGCTCCGTTACGAGACACAAAGATTGGTACCCGATTTTAAGGTCCTAGGTCAACCGGTGACCACTGAGGTAAGGTCAAGTGCCTCAAGGTACGGTTCAGTTTTTGGTGAATAACTTCGTAAAAAACGGCCGCAGAGCCGGGATTTTGACAGCATCGTGTTCGCCTAGCTCTGGCGCGTCGAATGATATACTTTTTGTTTGGGTCAGGTCAACTTAGAGTGTTGACCTCAGGTCACGGTCAGGTCAGCGCCCCCAGGTCACGAAGTTGGTCGAAAGAGGCCATGTCGCATATCATTCGATTAGGCAAGTCTTCCTGAGTCCATTGGTGGTTTCCCCGTCTCGCTAGCTCAATTTGATCGGGAGTTATTGACGAAAAACTAATATGACCTTCAAGACGTCATAAATGACGTCAAGCAAGGTCAACATTGCAAAAGTGACGCATCTAACCTTGCAAGGAGTGCATCAAATCACGATTCTGTGTGCTTGAGATAGTTGGAGATCGTTCCCGGCGCCAGAACAGCAGTTTTCATTTTTCCCCATTGACATGATGGTGAGGTCACGAAAATGACCTGACCTCATATGACCTTAAGGAAAAAAACCGAGACATACAAGTTGTGAGACTCGTAATGGATACTAGATCCTGCAACTTTCATTTCCCTGTGAAAGCTCCTCTGGCAGTGAGGGCGTTGCGAAGTTGCGACATCTGAAGACCGTGCAGAGGTTCACTTATGACGTCATAGGTCAGTGACCTGACATGACCCGAAAATGCGGTTGAAGTCAAAAGATCCGGCTTGAATCAAAGGTCAGGTATGCCAGGTTTCAGCTCTCTATCTCCAGCGTGTTTGGAGCTATCGCGAAAAAAACCCTATGGGGGGCGGCATCCGCCCCCCCCCCTCGGCCGGCGAGGGTTAAAGGAAATATACAGGGTGTCCAGAAAAACGGATACTATTATTTTTTGCTGTAATTCCGAAAATAAACACCTTACGTTTTAAAATGGCACATGCTTGTATTCGCCAAAATATGGCAAAACAGACAGCAGGTGCCACATGACATGTAAACTCTTTGGTTAGTTGCGGCAGCTCCTCAAAGCAGATACTCAATGTGAGCGGCCTTACGGCGGATCAGCTCCAGCACTAGCACAGTCTGCAGGTGACTGATGGTCATGTTGACCATCTCGGAGGGCAGGCAGACAACTTTCCAACGACGCATTACAGTGCTCATGAGTTTTGCCAAATCTTGCACTATAAGCACATGAATTTGGAACAAAATCGGCACGTGCGTTAATGAATGCGACTTAATTTCCGTAGTATCTTTTCTTTCTGGACACCCTGTACAACTTTTAACATGCCTTAACATGGGGTTTTGAAATGACACAACAGTTTTGTAGCTTGAGCCAGGGGCGGCGCCATGAATTTTTGACTGTGGGGTACTAGGGTGAAAAGGGCCCATTCATAGTGAAAGGAGCCCATGGTGAAAAAGGCCCTTGCACGGTGAAAAGGGCCCATATCATTAACCCGCGCCCCACTGGGGGAGGGGCTATTTATAGCCCCCCCTCCCGTTTTTCTGCAATAACTTCCAAACTGCTTGACGTATCGACGCCAAACTTTCAGTACCTTAGGCTGCATCAATTTGACACCTTGTGTCAAAATTTGAACTTCGTAACTACTATAGGTCGGCCGGAAATGACGTCAGAGTGACGTCATGTTCGGCCGATTTCGACGCAAAACATTGAACCACGGCAATCGCTCCCAAGAGCTCAGTTTTTAGGCTAGATCCAATTTCTTTGCATGAGAGGACTCAGAATAGACTGCGCTATCAAACTGCTATCTCGGATTTTCGAAATTTTGAAAATTTTGAAAAGTTGATATAATAATATCCAAAATTTATATTTTTACATTTTTTCAAAAAGTTTTTGACTTTTCGAAAAAAAAAAACAGAATATATGTGATAGAACGCATTATCATGACTAACTCTAGCAAGTTTTAGCTGAATATCTTCAAAAATGGCCAAGTTTTACGCATTATTGCAAAAAATTCTCAATTATTTGTTTTTCAAATCAATTTTTCAGCACGTATTTGACATTGTACGCCATTATAAATAGCACCATCGTGTTCCTGAGCTCAAACTGCATCCTGACCTATAGACACCTTTTTTATTGAAAATTTTTAACTTCAAAATTTGACCTTTTTTGACCTGAAAATGACCTAACATAAGCTAAATTAGACTCAAAATGACCTCGAATGACACAGAAATTCGAAATCTCTGACCTAAATGGACCATAAAACATGTGTCACGTGACCGATGCATGATATAATATTTTCGTGACCTGTGATGACCTGACCTTGACCTGAAAATCAAAGTACAAGTTTGCTACCCTCAGGGTAACTAGAGCATCTGTTCCCGAGTGTGTGATCCAAAAATGAGCCTGATCTGACTTGTAAGACGGCGGCCAGAGCCCAAAACGTGAATAAGCCAAAATGCTAATAATTTTTACTTTGACCTGACCTGTGACGTCATCGGTGACCTCGTGGTCAATGAAATTAGGTTTCGCTCGACAGTTTTTCCGGAGCTATCAGACGCCGTTTGAATTTTGACGATCGGCCCAGTAGTTTCGGAGTTAGGAGGGGGGGGGGCTATGAATAGCCCCCCCCCCCCCAGTAGGGCGTGTTATACGCAGACCCCAGTGGGGCGCGGGTTAACATGGCGTAACCCACGCTGTGCTGGGGGGAGCGTTTTTACGCCCCCCCCTCCGTCAGTTTTTTTTGCGAATATCTCAACCTGTTCATACATCATTTACGCACATGTTGTGAAAATCTCAGACCCGGGTCTTCAAGGTCAGGTCACCAGCATAAGTCAATGGGAGAAAATTGATATGCGCCTCTTTTGTACAAATGTCGTTCAAAACGCTCGCAACCATCGGTTCATACGTAAACATAACACAATGAATCGGAAAACTGCACCTGCGACCCCTCTGTATGTCCCTGAGGTCATCTCAGGTCAAGAACGGTCACCAGCAGTTTTGTGGCCATAACTTTTGATAGAGACGTGCTAGAGCGGTGAAAACACGTCAGATGTGTTCAGCTCGACCATACGGATCGACTGATATGCAGCATGACCCTTTCCGGTCAGGTCATGACCTTGACCTAAGGTGAAATTTAAAAAAGACCTTTCAAGGTCAACGAATAGTTCATTGGACGTGCCTCGACGAGAGGAACACGATGCTGCCAAAAGTAACGTCGTGACTCTCTTGAATCAAAAGTTATTGCCCACAAACAGTGTACGGGAAAACGGCTATTTTTACAGTTTTTGACCTCTGGAGGCTAAACCGTTGCCCTGATGTCAGATCTGAGAACATAATTCAGAAAGGTCTGTAAAAGGGCTATCGAATGCGCTTTTCCGCGGCGCTGTAGCTCTATTGGTTCCCGAGTTAGCCGGTGGCACTTTCCAAAATTATTGAAATGGACTAAATTTGACCTTTGATGACCTCTGGTGACCTGACCTTTGACCTGAACTTAAAAATCACCGAAGCTACGTGGCCCAGGAGCCAAGTTAGACGGGGGGGCATGAAAACGCCCCCTTCCCCCAGCACTCGGCGGGAAGTTCAGGCCACCAGCACGGCGCGGGTTAAAGGCACTTGCAATAGCAATCTAGCAGTCGACAGTGAAAGATGATAGATCTTGAAAGCCTTTTTTCTTTTTATAAATTTAGTCCGAACCTTTTGATAGGAAGGATTCACAAGGACAGAGCCACCGCTAAGCGAAGCTTGTTGCATTGACGCTGCCCTCTTCCCTCCGATCGTCAAATTCCAGTTATATGGCAGAATTTAGAGTCCAAAGATTAATGAGCGCATATAGTCGCGCACGGCCGGTCCCCTCGGCCCTCACTGACTTCGCCCGGCTACGGCCTGCCACCAACCGCAACCATACCTGTCAGGAGGCCCTTAACCCGCGAGTTGCTGGGGGGGCGTTAAACGCCCCCACTTTTTCGCCGGGCCATAGCATAAAAACGGCGCGCCGCAGGCGCGCCAAATTTTGTGTACCTGTAGGGAATTGATTGAAGTTTATTGTGACAAAGTTTCAAAAAAATCGGTCGGAAATTTTTTGAGATATCGAGGTTTTAGTGACGTCATGATTTCTGAGTTTTCGACCAAAAACGGCATATGTTCAAAAAATCATATAAAATCACAGAA